TGGCTACCAGGATCTACCAAGCTTGCAATGAAGTCGTCTCTCTGGCCCATCTGTGAATGGCTACCACGACCTACCAAGGCTTTTTGGGCAAGTTTGACTGGTAAAAGTTTCAATCGATGTGATATTTTGCTGGTAGGACTGGGTGGCCCGACACGTATAATAATATGTTAAAATGGAAATGTTAAGAGTTCCCTTCTCGAGTTATGGTGGAATTTCCCAGAATTCTTTTATCGTATAACACTTACATTATTTGGTGGGTTACTTTAACTGCACAGGATGCGACTTCAACTGTGATTTACGAATGAACCACGATCAATTTTTAACTTATAACACTAATACAAATACATCACGCAACATTTCTGCACTAAAACATTCCAAACGAGCAATAAAAAACTACAAAAAAACAGTAGAAAAACGAAAGAAACCTAAACTGCTAACTAAGTAATGTTTGAGTCTTGCACAAAAATATACCCGTAGCATTGCACACTTCATGTCGTAAATTGAAAGGCTCCATCGGATTAAATTTCATAGAAATGTCTTCCGAAAAGCAATATGTCCATTCCATCTGAGTCAAAGATAAGTCTTTGGAGGAAATTTTAACGGAGGTTATGGGCACGAGTTGAAGTTTTTGCGTCACCTTTTCCTAGCTTTGGCTCTTCATCGCTCAGTTTCAGGCACAATTTTGTAAAAAAAAAAAAAAAGTCATTAAGAACCAATTAGAGTATCGTATATGAACGTGTCTGGTAGTAGTAATTTTGGTGGTTTTGAAACATTTTAAAGAACATGCAGCTTATTTTAGTTCAGGAAACAAGTGGCACAGTACCAGCAGCACCATTGAATATCATGTGATGAAAAGTGGGATGTGAAACGCCATCATATCGAAAAGAAACACTAACACGACAGTGCCTTATCTGCGACGCAAAATTCATGTATAAATTTACTATTATTGGGAAACAAAATTTTGGAGAAATTAACCAACGAACCAAATACAATAGATCTAAAATTGTTAAAAATACGCCCTTGGAAACATTTGGGTGTTTGTTGTCGCTTAGTGGCTCATTGTTGAGACGATCGGTTTGTACACGGCACATAGTCTGATAAGAAATATAAAACTTGCGTGAAGTACTACATGCCAAAAAGACCCTTTCTACAACGACCAATTGATCACTCGCGGACGAACGACTTAGAGAAATAAGTGACTACTCCCTCAAGCAGACAACATTTATGTTTTTCCCCTTCGTCCAGTCTACTTAAAATTATAAATAAATTAGTGCTGCATATCCTGAAGCTTGTTTGCTAGGCCCCAATACAAATCAAAATAAACCACTGGTTGGAGTAGCAAAAGATTGTGCAATACCGACCTTTAGTCTTAGAGGGTCATGCATTGATTTAACCCCGGGACCTCTCGGCACATGCCTGGATGTTGTCACGGAACCAGGCAAAAAACATAAAAATTCCGTTCGCGAGCAAACTTTTCATTTATAAAGTCTTATTTCACAATAAAGGCAAAATCAATTTATTCTGAAAAGTGAACGTAGAACAAACTTGAACTGATTGACTAACTCATGAATGAAGCTGATGATTCTCTTGCGTCTGTTCAGCACACCTTTATGGGGATCTGGACCATCCTACTGAGCCGCTTTAGACAGGGGTCTCCCAACAACAGCCGAGCCACGGGCCCAAAAAGCCTTGGTAGGTCGTGGTAGCCATTCACAGATGGGCCAGAGAGACGACTTCATTGCAAGCTTGGTAGATCCTGGTAGCATTTTTGGCGGTCCAGTCCACATGAAACCACCTCTCACCTCTGTTTTCCTTCAGAGGCTTGCCTCTACCCACATTCCAGCTTAATGATGCCGTCGTGAGGGCTTCTGTAGAGAGAAAATGGCTCGAAAAACACTTATAAACGGCCAGAAAAGCGAGAAATCGAATCGATTTGAACGCATCCAGACTCGAACTGTTGATCTAGGTCACGTGACCCCAAAGTCTGAGCCCATGGTGTCTCAAAACCGCAAATATTGTAACGGATACTCCATATAAGGACCAACAAAGTGAGGTTAAGTTTGTATCACTAAATTACACCTGAAAAAATATGGTCTTTTTCGTATTCAAAGGGTTAAAGCTTTGTTTGTAAATTTCTGTCTTAGTTTAACCGCTTGAATAATAACTGTTTAACGGAGTCACCCCAAGGGCAGAAGATCAAATAAAGCACCCGTGCTGAAGTTTCCTTTGAAAAGAGTACATTTTGATTGTGCATGAGGAATAGCAAAGACCAAGATCGAATTTTGCGAAGGGAGGCCGAATAGATTGACTGATGGAAAGCGCGATTTATGTGACATGATAACTGCTCCTCATATTTAGACCGACACCTAAATATGGGGAGGGTTTGGAGATAATTTTATCATGATGTTTGAAGATTTTACATCTGTCTAAACAGTTTCATGAACAGCCACTGAACATCATTGAATTTATTTTGTTCCAACAGTGGCAGAGATTCGTTATTTTAAGGATATATTTGTAGTAGCATCGTTCCTCCACCCTATTCACAAGGGACCACATTTATCAGCTTTTGGGTATACTAGCATATTGACTAACCTTACCAATACAAATGCTCCTTTTGATGGTAACGCTTTTTCCAGAAGGAAACAAAAATTATCTACTAAGCCCTGGATAACAAATGGCATTTTAAAATCAATCAAAACTAAACACACTATGTACAAAACACATTTTCTTTCTAATAATCCGGATAAAGTGGCGAAATATAAAAAGTTTGCTAATAAACTAAACTGACTTAAAAGTGTGAGTAAGAAGACCTATTCTTCTCAGCACTTTGACCAATGCAAGAATAATCTGAGGGCATCTTGGAAGTTAATTGGTACAATAACAAACCGCAACCATAAGGGGCAGAACCCCATTTCAAAAATCGTGCATAACAATAGAGTCTACACAGATAAAACTGATATTGCAGATCAATTTAACAAACATTTTGTTAATGTAGGTCCAAATCTAGCCCACAAGATTGGACACTGTGAAGGAAATCCTACCCATTACATTAAATCAACCCCGGTAGACGGCTTTGTTCTATCTTGTGTTACTGAAACCCAAGTCTGCTCATTATTTAAATGCTTAAATGACCACAAGTCATCCCTAGATATCCCTAACAAATTAATCAAAATAGCTGCTCAACCATTGTCAATACCTCTAACATATATTTACAACCAGTCTATAGAAACTGGTATTGTTCCTGACATATTAAAAGTCTCTCAGGTGTCTCCAGTATATAAAAATCGAGATGCTACAAACCCTAGCAATTATCGCCCTATAGCAACTCTCTCACCATTCACTAAAATACTTGAACGACTAGTCTACAATCAACTAGATTCCTTCATAGAAAAACATCAAATCCTATATAAATATCAATTTGGATTCAGGAAAGGATACTCCACTGAACAGGCTATTCTTGAAATTACAGACAATTTAAAGCTAGCAATCGATAGAAAACAAAGCACATGTGGTCTATTTCTTGATTTGTCGAAGGCCTTTGACACAGTAAATCACAGCATTCTACTGCCTAAGCTCTCTTTATATGGCGTTCGAGGAGTCTCACATAAATGGTTTGAGAGTTATTTTCAAAATCGTAACCAACATGTCAAAATTGATTCTAATAGATCTGCCAATAAAAATATAACATGTGGTATACCTCAAGGCTCAACTCTAGGTCCACTCTTATTTCTACTCTATGTTAATGATTTACCAAATTGCACTGATAAACTCTCAGTGCGGATCTTTGCTGATGATACTAACTTGTTTTTTACTAGTGACAACCCACATCATCTAGAATCTGTTTTGAATCATGGACTTAAACAAATTTATAAATACTGCGCACTATACAAGCTGTCTATTAATTTTGCAAAAACTAATTACATGTTAATTTCATCTTCTAGATACCACCCCACGATAAATATTAAAAACATTGAATCAAAGAATTATATGAAATACCTGGGAGTCTATATCGATAAGCACCTAAATTGGCAACCGCAAATACAACATGTAAACAATAAAATAGCAAGAAACATTGGAATTCTTACTATATTGAGACATGATGTCGAATTTAATATGTTAAAGCAATTATACTATGCTTTGATATATCCCTATTTAAGCTATGGTATAACTACCTGGGGCTGTGCCACCAATACTAACTTAAAATGCCACTGTATTAAGCAGAACAAATTTCTTCGTAGCATCTCCTTTGCAAATGCTAGAGAGAATGCCAATCCCTATTATAAACTATTAGGAATTCTAAAGTTGGAAGCTATTTATAAATTCAGAATATGCTGTCTTACGTATAAGATTAATATTAAAAGTGATAGCATTCCAGATATCTTCCTTGATATCCTGACCCCAGAATCTGAGAAACATAATTATAATACAAGATTTGCTACTAATAATAACTTTTTTAGACCAAGAGTATCCACCAACATGGGAAAATCATCTTTTATATTGAG